CTGAAGATTATTTAGTTATGATTTTGGCTGTAAACAGAAAGCTCTGAGCGATTTTCTTGCCTCGAGTTCATCTTGAAAAAGAGCAAACACCGGGAGCCGGCTCAAAACATAAATAAGCTTATCAGCTTACCTGACTCATGATTTTCAGAGACGCTTTACTCTCAATACTTCTCTTCGTGAATGAAAATTATTTTCTCTGTACATGTTTCACCGAATTATATTTATTTTATTGATTGTTAGTAGTCCCTCCCGCGATTTTTATCGCTGCACCGGTTGTTTCCAGTCGAACATAAACATCGCATGCAGGAATACTCAAAACGCCGCGCGTAAATGTCACTCGCTTTTACAGATTACACATAACAAAACCATACACAGTTTAATACATAAAGGGAAATAAAACCTAAACATAACAATTTCTCTATCATGTTGAAGCGTAAATGGTAACTCTATTAGTCGCACTGCAAGTTTGGTGCCTGTCAAAAGTGAGAACCCGTCCGGCTGGCCGAAAAGGTGATTTTGGGAATTTTTTTTATCGTTTTCATTAAAAGCCCGTAATTATTACCCTGCATATCACATAGAACCAGATTTTTCTAACTGAAAAGTCCCGGCATTTTCTGAGAATTCTCTTCATAACAACGTTTTATAATTCAATGCTACAATTTGTTGTGCAAAGGAAGCGCGTGCTTTGATCGTCGTGGATATTGAATGAGTGCAAATTCTCTTGCAAAATTGTGAAAAACTGCAGAATTATAGGTTTAAATAGGGCAAAAAAGAACAAATTCTGTCCGAGGTCTGTATGGTAAAAAAAGGGCCTCAGAGTACTGTTTAGCTGAGACGTGATGAGAAAAAGTATGTTTATAAGGCTGGTTTACACGCCACCAGATTCGTCGCTAAGATTTACTAGTAAACTAAACTTGTCGAACACAAAAAATCCGGCCTGATTTTTTATTTTGGCCTCTCTTTTAGACAGAGGAATGCAACGTGTAAATTGGCTGCCACCAAGGACTATCGTGGCGCGTGTGTTTCTTAAAAGTATATTTCGGGGTTGTCTAACGGAGCAATGTTGGAGAGACTGGTGAATGCCACATTATGATGCAACAGCTAATGCAAATACAATACACGAATAGGTCTATTTGTTTTCCAGGCCTAATCTTCTGTTATCGAACATGATTGCTATTTTTGGGTGTACAAATAAGACTATTTAATAACTCGATGTAAAATTTGTTTCACTCTTGGACTGTCAAATTATTTTTCTCTAAAATCACTGTGGATCTGTAGATTACAAGTTTATTGTTTGATTTAAATTATGAATTTATTAATGGGAGCTTCGCTTTTAGCCCTGGCTAAATCTATATATTACTCCTTAAATCGAATTAACTCAATATGGCCGCCGTATCGGTAAAAAGGTCTATTGCATTCATTCAATATTCAGGACCATCGAAGCACGCGTTGTCTTTTAATTAGCGAAACCGTTCAAAAAATTTCCAAAATCACCTATAACTCTAACTTTTGACAAGCTCAAAATTTGCGAAGAAATTTTAAAGAGTTACGCTTCAACGTGATAAAGAATTTACTGAGTCTATTTTTTATTAATGGTTTTATAACGATGTGTAATCTTAAAAAGCGTTTGATATGCTTGGCATTTTGAGTACTCCTGCAAGCGATGTTTATGAACGGCTGAAAACAAACGGCAAAGCGATGAAAATTACACTTTTGAGACTACCAACAATTAATAAAGAAATATAATTCGGTAGAACATTTACAGAGACAACAATTTTCATTCACGAAAACAAATGAGTATTCAAGTGTCTCTAAGAATCCTCAAGTCTTTACTAGTAAGCTTGAAGCTTAAGTTTATGTTTTAAGCCGCCGGTTTCCCGGTGTTTGCTGTTTTCAAAGATGAACTCACGACAACAAAATCGCTCAAAGCTTTCTTTCTACAGCCAAAATTATAACTAAATATTCTTCGGAAAGTTTTTTCTTTCTATTTACGGTGAATTAATATCGACTAAAGGCTTTTTAAAGTTCTGTAAGCTTAAGCTTATGTATATCAAACCTCATACTAGGTCAGATCAGTGTCTCAGTCAAATCTTAATACAAACGTGCATAAACTAGCTTCATAAACTGCGCCGCTGGACTTCATGAAATTATATTCAAATACAATAATTACTCAGGCTTACCAAATTTCAAGATGCAGCTCCTGAAAGCTATCAAGTAAGGCAAGGATCGCGTGAGCCTTTATAATTCTCGTACGCATCCAGCAAAGTGAAAAACAAAAACGATGCCATCCGAAATCGGATTATCGGCTTTGACAAGCGACGCATTTCTCAACCAAAAACCCAATAAACAAACCAGCCATGAATAAGAGAACACTCTTGATAGCAGCTGTATTTCATTTTGTATATCCAGTGGAAAAAGACAGTTAAAGACATCACAAGTTGACTCAAAACTCTGTTAGCTTTAGCTGTCAAAGTAAGCAACTTTCAAGATGCTGCATAAATTTTACGCATGAACTCACCTGTCAAATTTTAACCAATCAGAGCATAAACATTGGACGTGCAGCATGACCAACACGTGACCATGGTAAGAAAAGGTCTTCCCCCCCTGGCTGAATTTTTGCGTCTGAGGTCAGTTTGAAATCAAAATCGTAATGGTGCGGGGCGATACTGACATAAACACAACATATTTGATATGAATTTAAAAAAAAAAAAAGCAAACGTGAGCCTGCGATCATTTGAAAACGAATAACTTCAAGAAAAATACTCGACCTAGATGGGTCGACACCTGAGCCCACGATACGGTCAGGTGATACTGATAAGCGGATATCCTGTTTTGACAGCTGTCAATTGATGACAACATTGATGTGCAATCAGCTTTCTCCTGGGCTCCCGAAGTAGCTAGAAAGTGTGAGAGTAAACATTGGTATGCCTGTGGTGCGGACGGACGGTCGGTCGCTCGGTCGCTCGGTCACGTGATTACCAAATTTTCTGGGATGGGTAGATTTCTTTACCTATGGTGCTCCGCTGGCGCGCTTCGCGCACGGAGCTCCGCTATTACTTACTTAATTAAAAATAGACTGCGAGCAGTCTTCTCTTTTTCTGCCGGTTTAGTAAGGGGAGTGCACGCGCGCGCGAGGCGAAGCCGCGAGACCCGCGAAACGAGGGCGGCAGCCGCGCCATCAGTCACGCGCGTGGCCATTTGCGTGTCTCGCGTTTTGCTCGACGGACTACAGAAAAAAGAGAGAAATCAAAAATGGAGTTCGGGGAAAGAAATTTTTTGGCCCAAGTTAATGCCAATGATTTTGACGTTTAAGAAATAAAGACTCACCACAGAGATACAGCTAGTTACAGATACAGTGAAGTATGTAATAATCACACAGCTATCATAAAATAAGAGTAAAGCAAAGTAATATCATATGGAGCGTTAGAGGGATTTTACTTCGACCATGAGACGGATTCAATGTTTTTCTGCTGTCTTTATATCTTAACTATCGTATTGAAAATCACAGTAATGTGGAGAAAAATTTAAGGAAATATCTTTTGTTCCAATTTCATTTTTTAGGAAATGCTGGTGACTCGCTAAGTTATCACAAAAGCTCCTCTTTCTCCACTAAAGACCGAGACAATGACAGCTGGTCTGCTAACTGTGCTACAAGTTACAAGGGGGCCTGGTGGTACAACAACTGTCATTATTCCAACCTGAACGGCCTCTATCATCACGGTAGACACTCTTCACATGCTGATGGTGTGAACTGGTATCACTGGAAGGGATATCGCTACTCCGCTAAACGAGCTGAAATGAAACTCAAACCAGTCAACTTCTAAATCAACAAACAGCGGTTTTCAGTGCTTATATCTGCTTGATTCGCAATGGTCGTTTAAATAACTTAGCTGTAACACATTTTGTTAGACTGCTGCTGAAATGATAAATTAGGCACAACCAGGAGCCCATGATGGGCTCCTGGCATAACAAACTATTTTCACAGATTTGATGGAAAAAACTATAAAATAAACGATGTTGCAATTAGCTTTCGCAATTTACGATATTGTTTCTCATTTATACTAAATGCCTTCTGTCCTATTAGTCTTTCTTCTTCCGATTCACTGAACTTTATGGTTTTTTAAATACCTCTCCTATTCTTGCTTTATATATCCGTTATGGCTCAGTCAATTCCAAGCGTGCCCATCCCCCCCGGACATTTGTCAATTCTTCTAGAAACGGTTAACATTTTTCCTTTGTCAATATTTCACTTAAAATATGCCTATTTTGGTAGCTATTGATTTTTTTTTTATAAAGAATATTTTGAATACACATGCTTTAAAAAGATAAGTGTAGTTTTCGCTTCATCACCACCCTACCACACAGTATTTTTTGCATCCGTCTAAGGAAAGCAGTTTCCGCCAACTTGATCCGATCGCAAATGGAGGAGAAACAATGAATGCATCGTTTAAAGGAAAAGACACCGGCTTTTTTTGTGACCGAGTGGCTGAGGCAGAGAGGCCTAGAAAAACTGTGCGAGATGTTGGAAAGCTAATATAAACTTCGTGTTTTTTAGAGTGAGACGACGTTGACGGAACGGTCCCGTCGTGATGACAAAATAATCATGTTTATAAGCTTGTCAGTTATTTGTTTACCATTCACCTATCTTAAATACCTTCGAAAATAGGAAAAGTGTTATTAAAACTCTAGTTTATAGCTCTGTAATTGATATTAATCAGATGGGATAAATCATTTTTGCAATAATTATAACCGGCGGCTAGGAGCGCGGATTTCCGATGGGTGTTTCACGGTCAGATTATTACAGATTTCCTATAAACTAAATATGGCATTTGCAGCTTATTTACTGGAAAATGCTATGTTAGTGTTGGCACTGGGTGTGGCGTTTGCCCACTTTGTTATGCTCCACCGTAGGGTTTTTGGATGAACTACCCGTCCCCACCGTGGGGGGGATTTGCAGCTTTTAGAGACAAATGCCCGGGGGAAGGGGGGGGGGGGGGGGG